GGATCCCTTCCAAGCTCTGGTTGAGATTATGTCCACAGGTCAACGTTTGCAGGGTGCCGGGGAACTGGGTCCCCTACAAGCTGCGGTTGATCGCCTACCTGAGGATCCATATCTGCAGTGCGCTAGGGAGCTGGACCCCCCTCAAGCTCTGGTTGGAATCGCCAGCTCTGGTTGAAATATTGTCCCAAGCCCAAGGACTGCAAACTGCCAGGCAAAGCCACATTCGCCATTGTGGTGCCATATATCCAAGAGTGCCAACAATAACATTTAAAATTGTTTCTGAATTATTACATGTACAACAATCAAAATCAATTAATGTCCATTTATTTTTATTTTTATTATACATAATATTTTCTGGTTTAATATCACAATGAACACCACTATTTTTGTGAATTTTTTGTAATTCACATCCAATATCTTTCAAAATTTTAATTTTATACGAATATCCGAAGCTCAAGGTCTGCAAACAGCCAGGGAAGCCACATTCTCCAAGCTCAGGTCTGCACAGCCAGGAAAGCCACATTCTCCAGCTCAGGTTGAACGGAAAACTGAAGCTCAAGGACTGCAAATTACCAAGCAAGGTTACATTCTCCTAACTCCGATTGAAAGCGCCTCCGTCCATCCGAAGCTGAGGGACTGTAAACAGCCCGGCAAAGGCCACTTTCGTGAGGCTCTAGTTGAAAAAGACTCCCCGAAGCTCAAGGACTGCAAATTGCCGGGCCGAGCCAAATTTCTTTTATGCTCTAGTCGAACGAATCCGAAGCTCAGGGACTGCGAACTACCAGGCAAAGCCACCTTCTCAAAGCCCTGGTTGAAACAAGGCCCGGAAGCTCAAGGATTGCAAACTGCCACATTCGCCAAGCACTGGCCGAAATGATGTCTGAATCTCAAGGACTTCAAGCTTTCAGGCAAGGCCATTCTCCAAGCTCTAGTCGAATATCCGAGCTCAAGGACTATCCGAAGTTCAGGGACTGCCCGCTGCCAGGCAAAGTAGCATTCGCCAAGGTTTGGTTCAACCACCATCCGAAGCTCAGGACTGCAAACTGCCAGGCAAAGGCCACTTTCGCGAAGCTCTAGATGAAAGACTCCCCGAAGCTCGAGGACTGCAAACTGCCAGGCAGAGCTACTGAGCTACAGTTTTCAAGCCCTGATTGAAAGCGCCTCCGTCCATCCGAAGCGCAAGGATTGCGGAGTGCCATGCAAGGCCACTTTCATGAAGCTCTAGTTGAAAGACTCCCGGAAGCTCAAGGATTGCAAACCGCCAGACAGAGCCACATTTTCCAAGCTCTGGTTGAACGAATACAAAGCTCAAGGACTGTAAACTGCCAGGCAAAACCAAATTCTTCAAGCTCTGGTAGCCTCAAACTCTGGCCACATTCTCTAAGCTCTAGTTGAACGAATATCCGAAGCTCCAGGACTGCAAATTGTCAGGCCAGGCCACAATCGCCAAGCTCTGGTTGAAAGACTGTGAAAGACTGTCCGAAGCTCAGGGACTGCAAAATGCCAAGCAAAGTCACATTCTCCAAGCTCAGGTTGAACGAATACCCGAAGCACGAGGACTGCAAACTGCCAGGAAAGCCACAGTCTCCAAGCCCTGGTTGCACGAACATCCGAAGCTCAAGGACTGCAAACTGCCAAGCAAGGCCACGTTCTCCTTGAAACTAACTCCGCAGGTCAAGGACTGCACACTGCCAAGCAAGACCATATTCGACAAGCTATGGTTGAATAAATCACCGAAGCTCAGGGACTGCAAAATGTCAGGTAAAAACGCCCCGACGCTCAAGGATTGCAAACTGCCAGGCAAAGCCACATTTTTCAAGCGCTGTTTGAACGAATACAAAGCTCAAGAACTGTAAATTGCTCAGTCAAGCCACATTCTCCAAGCTCTGGTTGCCCCAAACTCTGGTTGAAAGCACCTCTGAAAGTCAAGGACTGCAGACTGCCAGGCAAGGCCACATTCTCTAAGCTCTAGATTGAACGAAGAGCCGATGCTCAAGGACTGCGAACTGTCAGGCGAGGCCACATTCGCCCAGCTCTGGATGAAAGACTGTGAAAGACTGTCCGAAGCTCAAGGACTGTAAACTGCCATGCAAAGTCACAGTTTCCCAGCTCCGGTCGAAGGCATACCCGAAGCACAAGGACTGCAAACTGCCCGGAAGGACACACTCTTGAAGCTTTGTTGAACGAGCATCCGAAGCTGAAGGACTGCAAACTGCCAAGCAAAGCCACGTTCTCCTTGATAGAAACTCCGAAGGTCAAAGACTGCAGACTGCAAAGCAAGGCCATATTCGACAAGCTATGGTCTAATAAAGCTCCGAAGCTCAGGGGCTGTAAACTGTCAGGTAAGGTCACATTCTTGAGGCTCTGGTTGAAAGCAAGCCCAGGACTGCAAATTGCCAAGCAAGGCCACATTCGCCCTACCTGCGAATGCAGTCAGCAGCCTGCAGGCGAAATCCAGTCCCAGAAAGCGCTATTTGGCTCGTCAAACGTCGATGGGAAAATTCGATGCCAACACAGGTGGCACCGCAATGCTGGAAATTACCAACAAAGAAGCTTCCGAATGCGCTGCCCAGAGTCCTTGACTCCAAGACAGATGGACCGTCATCTGACAGCATTGCACAAACATGATCATCCCTAGCTGAGACTACCAAAACTGGTCCCAAAGCTGCTGGCACATCACACTACCCATATTGGTTGTCTCCAAAACAGGTGAGCCGACCATCTCTCGCACTGCACGAATAGGCTCACCCAGAAAAAGAGCGCATAGTCAGAGGCAAGTGCCAACTGCACCACGTGAATGTGCGTATCTGGCCTGACCATATTAAAACCTGGCCAAAGATGCTCGAGCAGAACGTTGACGTGTCGTGAGGCAGGACAAGCTACAAAATGCAAGCTATCAGACAAGGCCACAATCTCCAAGCTCTGGTTGAAACATGCTCAGAGACTGCAAGCTGCCAGGCAGGGCCACACTATCCGAACTGTTTGAACCAATGTCCGAAGCTGAAGGACTGCAAGCTGCCAAGTAAGGCCACTTTCTCCAGGCTCTGGCTGGGATGGGCACCAAAGCTCAGACTGCAAGCTGCCAGGCAAAGCCACATCTTCAAAGCTCCTACTGAACTGACGCCCGAAGCTGAACGACTGCAGCCTGTCAGGGCCACATTCGGTAAGCTCTATTTTGAGCCAATTTCCAAAGCTCAGGGACTGCAAGCTGCCTGGCCAGGCCACTTGCGCCAATTTCTGGTTGAAATAGCCTCGGAAGCTCAAGGACTGCAAGCTGCCAGGCAAGGCCACATCCTCCGAGCTTCGGTTGAAATTGTTTCCGACGCTCAAAGACTGCGAGTTGCCAGGCAAGGCCACATACTCCAGGACCTGGTTGAGAGCGACCCTGAAACGCAAGAACTGCAAGCTGCCAGGCAAGGCCACATTCACCAGGCTCTGTTTGAAAGCGTCTCCAAAGCTCAAAGACTGCAGGACCACATCATCCAAGCTTTGGTTGAAATTGTTTCCAAAACAGAAGGACTGCACGCAATGCTGCAGTCTCGAAGCACTTGTCGAGCTTGTTTCCGACAAGCAAGTACTGCAAGCTGACATGCCGGGCTTCACTTGGAAGCTGCACCAAAAACGCAAGCAAGAGGAATGCTGTGGCCACTCCAAATGCCAAGGTTTGAGTTGGAACCTTGCGGTGCACCTGATGGCTCACAGGCCAACGCAGTCCATGTGCGCCCCTGTGGGCAGGTCTTCTCACGGGCGTGAGGAACTGCAAGCTACCCCGCCCCACTAAGCTAGGCACACATGAGAGATCATATAAACGCAATAAAAGTCAAAGATGAGTATAGAATTAAGCTGAAAGCAAAGCTAAAGCTATATGCCATGCATGAAAAATAAAGCTGAAGCAAGCTAAACGATGCTCTGCACTGTTGTGTGTGGCTTGAACCAAGGAGGCGCGGTTAGTGTGATGGTTCCCAAACAACAAACACATTTGAGTAAACACAAAAACCTCGCACCACACACGTGCATGCACCCGCTTCTCCCCCCACAACCCGTGCATGCCATTGGACATTGGTCTGGCAAGTTGCGATCTCTGAACCCCCTTACGGACAAGGTGGTCAAACACCCCTCGGCTCGGATCGTCACTTGGATTCGAACGCGAAGCCACCCGACCGAACCATGGTCTGCACATGATCTCGCCTTCCAGCTGTGCCTCAATTCCAAGCAAACGTCGTCCTGAACCTGTGCCAGACGTGCCAGATATCAAAGCTGCCTGAGCGCCTCATTGTCCAAGTACACTACAGAGTACCAATTTCGGAGCAAGTTTCCCCAAATTCGAAAGGCCATCACAACCGCTCACAGCTCAATCTCGTATATTGGGTGATGCGAGTCCTCCAAAAGACGTTGCAAGTCACTGCGATGTACTTGCCTTCTGTAAAAGAATGTCGGATTCCCTGCTTCGTCATAAAGAATGCCCCCTATGCCAGCAGGCATGTCACTGTCAGGTTCGTATGATCCGTCAGTAAACAGGTACATGGTCCGTCCTGCAGCAGCAGTAAGGGTTAATGGCCTCGCAGTTTCCATATATTCCTTCACAACGCAGAGAGCCCACTTGAGGTCACCACTCAACCACGTAGTGACGTAGTGTCGTCCTTTGCAAGAGCCCGCTTTGAGATCAAGTGCAATGCATCACACGACGCTCTGCCAAACAAGTAGGAATTGAACCAGTGAAGTCGGCCCCTGAGCACTTCAGCCTCCTTCGGCGTCATATGGGCAGTTTCAAGGAAACGCCCCACCTCTTGCACGAGTTCTTGCCGACGTTCATCTGTGTGTCGAATGGTTATGTTACCATTTCGGGAATCACTCAGATCGAACAGCAAGCCCAGCGCAGAAAATGTTTCTCCAAACTTGGTGGCCTTCCGACCCGTGCGTGCATAATCGACATTCAAGAGACCAAAGAGTTCGTCCACGATGGCGTCCACTTGGTCCTCGCATCCCTCTCGGACAAATCATCAAAGTAAGCCGTCCAAGGTACGGCTCCCCCAGCATGACCGGCCTTCCAAATCGCAGCAGAGATGCGTAGGAAGCCCGCCACTGAGCCAGTGGCACCGAACACCAAGACGTTGGAGCCATAAACGGCGACTCCTCCCGACTCCACGTCCTTCACAGCTATTCGCAACCTTTGCACAATCGTCCGGATGAAGTGGGTAGAACTTGTACGCCGAAACCAGGTCATAAGTTATGCCACGCAGCGCCACTCCGCCGTCCTCAGCCAACGCCAAGGCCTCCAGCAATGCCCCCGCTATGACATCGACTCCATGAAGGGTGAATCGTTCAGGAAGACCGCAGGTCAGGTTCAGGCCGCACATCTTTCCATCATCTATCACCCGAAGTTTGTTCTTTTGCTGCAGGCCAAATCTCCTTGCCACGATGATTTCCACAGGATTTGGGTTTTCATCGATGAAGAGCCATCCCGCCTCCAGTTCCGAAAGCGTCTCCTTCCAGGCGCCAAAAGCTGCTTCGTCAGCTTCTGCATTTTCGATGCTCCTCAACGTGGCTGGCGTCCTGTACCTGGATTGCGACAAAAGCTCATCGATTGACATTACTGGAGGTCTGACATTCTTGACGAAGAGCCCAGTATCAGGCATCCAACCCGTGATACGAAAACCTTGGTGGAGAGCCTGCCACAAATCCTCGTCCGGAAAATCACATTCCTCCAATATTGCCTTCCATAACAAGACGTTTTTGCCATTGGAAGCTCGCTGAATGTACTCAGGCGCCTTGCTCATGAGCTCCTGCCCTGCGCGCTCAGTTGCCTTCTTGGTCGCAGCCCAACGCTCCAAGCACGGCTTAGCAACTTTGTCTCTTTCATCTTTTGACATGACGATATTCTTTGCCACTTCCTTAGCTACGCCTTTCCGACTCTCCGCCAGCAAGTTTCGCGGGTGTCCGGCCTTCACTGCATCTCTGACGAAGTCGTCGGGTTCCTTGGGAATGGCCACCATAAGAAGCTCAGCTCGATCCGCGCAAATCGCAGAGTTGCTATGTATCAAGCCAACCACGTTGAATTGATCCTCATCTTTCTCAATCGTCTCATGACCACGACACGTGTTCTCAGGACTCCCACAAGTGACCACTTCAAAAGCATCCAGCTTATGCAACTGCGATCTCAAGGCATGATATCCTGAAACTACGCAAACCCGCACCAACCCCAATTGGACCAGTTTGCGACGAATGATGCGAGCGCCCTTTGGGTACATCTGGAGCAGCGCGTCCAACGGAGCGTCCTGCAAAGGCACAGCCCAAACATCGTAAGCGCAATACATGGCAACCAATGGTCGAGCAAAGCGAGGCTGCTTGTCCAGGTAAACCTGCGTGCCACTACGTGTTGTTCTGCAAATGCAAAGTTGGGTAGGTCTCTGCCAGAAGCGAGGCAATCCGTTCACAAAGCAGTGGCGGGTAGGCCGCCTCATCAGCGGTAGGGAACCGCGCCCGCCCAGCAGCGGCAAAGGAAGGTTGCCAGGAATCATGATCATGATCACGGCTGCAACGAGCCTCAAGGCTTTGGAAAAGGTCATCACTGCACCACCAGCGAGTGAGCTTGTCACGGCGGCCGCCCACACGGCGCCGACGCTGGAGATGTTGTTCGTGATTAGGCTCTGCTGCAACCCCACCACCTCCCAAGGCCTGCGTGAGTAGGCAGGCAGCCCGTCGGCCAGCAAGGCCCAAGCGCTGCCCCAGGTGCTGCGAGCGCTTGTAGTCCCCACGCCCGCCTCCTGGAGTAGGCTGCGGCCCACGTGGAGGACCCCCCAGCGCCGATGTTTTGTGAGGTGCATCGTACGCCAGATGAGTGACCACAGCCTGCCTCAAAGCCGAGCGCACCAGACTCGGGTCGCCATCTGCTGCAACCGCAGCCTCCTTCGCGGCAAACGCAGGGTCTTAAACTTGAGAGCACGGAGCTGCAGATTGCGCCTTGAGGCTGCTCAATCTGCGAGCAAGCTTTCTTCAGTAACAGTCCTTGCGTTGTCTGGGATAGACACATGCATAATTATATGTGTTGAGAGAGAGATATATATATAAATAAAGATATGCTTACTTATTTGTAGACGTGCTGCAGGTACTGGGCGGCTCGGGCTGACGTTCCGTGATTTCCCTCAATTGCCGTTCCCAGACGCAGTTGCAACCTCAAGGTTCCATCTTGTGCATTCTGCGGCGCCAAGCACTTGTTTTCTCGCCAGAAACACGACAGCCGTCTCTTTCTAGGGAGGGTATCCCCAGTCCTCCACAGAGCACGTACGAGGTCTTTTTCCAGGCTCATGTCAGAATTCTGCGCTTTCGGGATCCAGGACACGCAGCTGACCATCACAAGGGCTTTGGCAGAACGGTGGTGAACGGGGCTCTGAACGTGCAGGGCCCTCTGAGGGGGGGCTTCATTGAGCTTGTCGCGACCTCACGGTGACGGGCGGGGGAATCAGGGAACTGCCAGGACCTCATCGGCGGCTCCACGCACGTGCAGGTGCAAGGCGACCTGCGGGTCGTGGCCACGTCGAACAGCAGCGACGTCGCGCCTGTCGGCAACGCACGGCTCTGTTTGGAATGCGGCTCGGGCGAGGGTGGGCTCGAGGCCTGGGAGGTGCAGCTCTTCGCACCCAACCAGGCGCAGACGGGCGGGGCAGGCCAATCTCATCATCGAGAGCAACACGGGCTCGGCGGTCATTGTCATTTATTTCTTCCAGAATTTGTCGGACCGGACAAGACGAATGTGAAGCCCGTGGGGTTTTCTAGGAGCTGCAGGAGGTCTTCGACGCCGTGATGCCCAGAAGACGGAGGGCAACCCGAGGCGCGCTTTGGGCTTCATCGCCCAGGACGTGCAGGAGGTGGGCGCCGCGGGCAAGTCGCGAGATGGCCCTGGAGTTCAACGTCAGAGACGCTCGGAAGCGCCGTCAGATAGCCCGGTGGGGGACCGCCCGGAGCTGCAGGACCGGCCACGCGAACCGGCGCTGCCTGTCATTCGGCACGCCGACCTGGTGGATTTCAGCCAGAACACCCGAGGCACTGAGCCTCTTACCTCGTGTGTGCACTATTGTTCGGGTTGTGGAGGGTTTGTTGCCTTAATGTGCTATTGGCTTTTGTCGTGTCGCTTTTCTCGGCGTGCTTGGGTCTTTTCGGGCGCCTCTGCGCAATGTTGAGCATTTGCGTATTTCCGGTTCCGTGTCTCTCCGCATGTGTGGATCATTTGTTTTGTCCCGGCATGGGCGTGCTTCAGGACGCTAATGTCACGTCCCTGCTTTTCCGGAGCCACTCTCGTTTGGTTTTGGTGACCGCCTCCCACGCTCCCCCCCTCCCATGCCTTCAACGCCACCCGGAGGTCACTTGGTCACGTCTCGCCTTCCCTCGCCGTGCCTATGATTGGCCACATGGTCCACCATCCGGCCTCGGCTGCTGTAAGCCTACTTCCTCCATTCGAGCTTTCAGCAATGATGGTCTTCGGAGCAGCACTGAGATCCGGGATGTGGGCGGCCGGCTCCAGCTAATGTTGCAAAACTGCTGCAAGCCGCTTGCCGCCCTACCTACCTCAAACTCAGCATGCAGATATACAGTAGTTTTTGTGTTATTAAATGTTATTAAGGCTGAAGGACGCTAGCCCGGACATGCCCCATCGTTTGTTGGAATGGAGAATTATGCAGGCAATGACAGGCATCCTCCGATCCGTGCTTGTTGTCGATGTCACAAAAACAAGAATCTGTGCAAGACACACGTGTACCGCAGCTGTTGTTAGTGGCTCGGCAGCCGACTCAGACCGGGAGCTTCCTGGGTCGCTGCAACATGCCCGGAGCTTAAGTTTCTGTTACACATAGTTCCGGATTTGTTGTGCATGGGCCGTGATGGAGGCCCGATGAGGACAAAAGCAATGCGGGAGCTGCGAACCCAGGACCGTCCACAGCAATGGGCTTTCAATGTTGTGACGCTTCTTGTTAAAGCTTTGCTGCTAAGGTTGGGCTTATTTACCCTCCACCAGATATTCGTGGCGTTTGCTTCTCAGGTGTGTCAGGCCTTTTTGAAAGCTACGGGTTTCATGTGATGCAACCTGATCGAGAAGATTTGGCCATGAGTTTGGACGGTGCTTGCCCAGGTAATCGACAAGACTGCGCAGTTCGTGGCCAAGTGCGGCTTTGACCCCAGAAATTCAACGAATTGAAGCTAATCCATGTAGAGTTAGCACCGTGGGCATTTTTTGTGCAATGTCATCGTGAACTCTTTTGCTAAGGTGAAGGTTTTGAGCAGCGAGTGCTTCGCGAGCAAAACCACACCAAGCCCCTGGACTCGCGTCGTGATGGAGACAACTGTTTGTGCTGTTCCGCACACTTGCTGGCATTGTTTGCTTTGATATTGTTGCGCAATCCGGGACGAACCTTGTGATGAATTCAAGGGTTGAATAGAAGAGCTGTCGGTGTTTTTGTGAGATTGAGTGCATGACGGACGCTGAGGTTCGCGTTCTTGTTGCCCAACAATCCCTACAGGCCCCGGACAAGCACGTCAATACGGCAAAACTGTTTGCCCTTGTCGGCAGGCCTTACTACGAACACAAGGTCAAGGAGTTCAAGACCGGTGTTGTTGAGGCGCTGTGATGGCAACTTTCTTATGTGAGCTTTCACACAAATGGAATGTTTTGCTCTGTGAAGGAGACAAAGCCCGAAGTGCCTCAGGCAATCATAGCATCAGCCTTAAACATCAGCGATCCGCAGATAGTTCGTGGACCTCCCATTGCAAGTAAGAGGTCAAAACGCGCACAACGATTCTTTTTTTGTTGAGTTTTTGGTAATCCCGTCTACACGAGGATCAAAAGGCCAAGGAGGATGCCAAGAGGCTGAAAAAGGTGGGGCATCGCATTTGCTCGTACAATCGCTTGAGCGTGGTGGTGGCAGCTTTTGTTCACGCTCTGCAGGAACAGCTGAAGGCATTGACCATGGGTGAGAAGCCGCTTTGCTGCGTTGTTGGTCTTGTTGGGACCAGTCTTTTCCTCGGCTAGCTCAACCGAGGAAGAAGAAGCAAGTGAAGCCACCACCACCCGACCAGCCACTCGGGTTGCAGTTTATATATATACACACACATACAGTGTTTTGTCGTTTGTGAGTTCTTCATATACACAATAGATTCATGCTGACTTTGGGCATGCATCTGGTATCGCGGATGCAACGACCTTCCATGGTTTCGAGCTACAGCACGCCATAAACCTGGCAGCCAGGTGTTTAGCTCAGCTAAGCTGTGGTTTCCTACACAAAAGCCCACCAAAAGAATATGCCTGGAACATGAAGTCACGCGTTGCCATTCAGACTTGCAGCCACCCTGCACAAGCTCTTATCACAAGTTGCTCTTAAAGATGCAAGTGCAGCCCAAGCAATCCCATCAGTCCCATCAGTCCCATCAGTCCCAGCAGTCCCAGCAGCTGTGACGACAATCATCTGTGACATGACTGCCAGGTACGTTGTCAACCATCCTTACATTGTTGGTGGCCCAAGATGCGGCTTTGGTCACGCTGAGCTGAGTGTGTCACAGTGATGGCTCTCAGGCGCCCATGGACACCGATATCATCAAGCTTACAGCGCAGTTCGTCGCCAGAAATGGTGTGTGGCACAGCTGTGGTCCTGAAGTATCTATGGAATATGAGCCAACTTCCACAAAAGTTTGTCAGCTGAAGGCCAGAAGTTCCTGATCGGACTGACACAGCGTGAAAGTCGAAATCCGCAGTTCGACTTCTTGAAGTCCGATCCTCAACTTCCTTTTTTCGGCACTATGAGAGCCATGAGAGTGTGGAGACTGAGGCCTACCCATGCCCTTTTCGGCTACTTCACTTCTTTAGTGGATGCTGGTGTCTCATCACCCTTTTGAAGCTTGTTTCCTTCAGGACCTTCTGCAGGAATGTCTGAATGAGTGTGCTCAGGCTTACACCAAGTGCCTGATGCCCAACAAAGATGAGGTTGGGCTGGCCGGCATTCATTATGCAGAAGCGTGCGTCAGCGTCGGAACACTGCAAGCAAATGGAAGCCAAGTGGAAGGTAGAGAAGCTGAAGAAGTGTACTGGCAACCCACAGGAAGTGGTTGACAAGGCCACGGTTCAGAATGTCAGTTAGTGTCAGAAAATGTCAGCTGTTGTTGGTGGAATACTGGCAGGCCATGGCACGGTTTGCATGGGATGAGCAGGAGGAAGCTAACCGGTTGAGCCTGCAGCTCGGAAGCGCTCCGCAGAGCTCCGCAGAGCCCCGCAGAGCCCCGCAGAGCCCCGCAGAGCCCGCAGAGCTCCGCAGAGCTCCGCAGAGGAGATCAGAAAGGTGGCCTGCGTCTGAGACGTCTTGACTCCAGGCCGAGAGGAGGAGGTGAAGGAGGAGAAGGTGCAAATGCGAGCCATGCTTCAGTGGCATCCTGCGCTGTCGACTCCCGTCGTGTTATGCGCAGGAGCAGATGGCACAGATCGATTGGCATGATTTTGTCGTAGTGGAGACGATAGAGCCATCAACTTGGACATCGGCATTTTACACATTCTTAGCCCTCACGACAATGTTCTTGGCTGCGGTTTGCCCACAAAGGTTCACTGCAGAAGATGATACTCTGCAGCTTGTATTGCTCTCAGCCGAATCTCTTGCGCCAGAGTTGACTCGCTCGTAGACACCACTCAAGGCAGCACCAATCGATCCTTCAACTCATGCTCCAAAGGGAGCTCCAGCGCCTCTGGAGCAAGCAGGCCTCGTTGTTCTTGTTTGCGACAAGACAGGACTCTTGACATTGCCTGCATTGACTGTTTGGCAGGCACGATGTTTGCAGAGGCCCGGATTGAGAAGCCGGTAAAAGGTGTGGAGGAGGAGATCAGGGTGCTGCTGGCCTAGTTTGCTTGCTGCTGGTGGTGCTGTGATCTAGGGAATCATGATGCAATTTTCGCATGTTAGTAAATGAGGACAGCATGACAGGAAGAGCCGGCTGTTGACCTAGAGAAGGAAGAAAGGGAAAGGAGAGAGCGGGAAATGGCAGCCGGAGCCTCAGAGTTGACCACAGAGAGCTTCAAAAAGAGTTTCATGTGCCATAATGCCATATGTGTGCACTGAGTGTGGCACTGTATGCGTCATCCGTTTTTGATCCAAGATCGGCCCCGATCGGCTCCTAAGGAGCAGCGGGAACGTGAAGAACGTGAAAGGGAAGAGCGTGAGAAGGACCCCTCTTTTGTGCTTTTCAGTGGACGTGTTGCATATGCTCTATAATGCCAGGAGGAGAGGGAAAGGCAGCAAAGAGAAGAAGAGGAGATGGTGGCCCTCCTAGACCTGAACCTGAAGTGCCCATGGCACGTTCGCACGCTTTGAAGCCATTCCGAAGCCTTTCCATCTCGGACCCATCATGGATTTGAGATGGTACTGAAGTTCTGTGCGTATTTGGCTTGTTTTATTTAAATGTCCGCTGGCCTTCCCTTCGTTCTATGGACACTCTGTGTCAGCTTCGCCAGCTGCACAGACAGTCAGACACAGATGCGTGCAGATGCGTGCCATGCTGAAGGTCCCCGAGGAGGAGCCCATTGATATGGAGCCGGAGATCCCTCTTCCGATGCAGGCAAGATGAACATCCATGATTTTTCCCTACGATGCAATGAGGCACTATCTTTGAATAAGCGCAGCAACAAGTTACATCCACAATCGGTGTTGACATGTTAGTTGATTGCCAGGAGCCAGAGATGAAGGTTCGAAAGGACTACGTCCGACAGAAGAAGGCCGCCCAAATTCGTCCATTTTTCTTAAGCAGTAGGCGACACACCGAGAGTACAGACCAGGTAAAGCTGATGCGGGACATTTGGTGTGTTAGTCCCGATCCCGTCCGCATCCTGTTCGCGGCTGTTTCGGCAGGGCAGTGCCCAGCGGCTGATGCAGCGCTGCCCAATCACAGGTCCGTTCAGGGAACACTTCTCCCCCAATCATTGCGTGACTGTTGTGCTTTTTCTGTGCGTAGACCACGTTATCGTCGTTATTATGACACCAAAGAGATAGATGCAATGTTTTTTGGGCATAAGCCAAGCTGTTTTTTGCCAGGACAGGTGGAAATCATTGGAACATGTTCCTCTAGGGAACGGCGCGCATGTGCGCGATATATTGCGAGGGGCATAGTTGAAATGAGCTGATGCCAGAAAGGCGGTCAGTGGAAACCTCAAGCCGTGACCCGTAAACAACATAGCTTATCCCTGAAAGGAGATGGGCGGTGGGAAGCTCTGAACCGAGCAAAGAAGTTCTATAGAGATTGTGCGTAAAATAGACCTAAACCGAAGAGGAGGGGCTTGGGATTACGAAAGGAGCTGACCCCAAATCCTGACAAGATATAGAATGCCCGTCTCCTTGCATGACTCAGCTACTCTCTTTTGCTTGTCATCATACAGCCTTCACATGCTTGATTGATACAGAGAGCCTGGTTGCCAAAGACAGGGAGCAGCCACTTCCCTCTCACCATCTTACATGCTCCTTCGCCGTAGCATCAAAGGCCTCAGAGGCCTCAGCGGGAAGCTGAGATTGCTAAAGGCACAACCCAAGTGGCCACCAAGATCTCAGATCCACACCCAATGTCGAGAGCCCAAACCCATCTTGCGAAGAATGAAAGGAGGCAGGCTGCATCTCCAATCGTTTTTTCATGAGCTCATCCTTCCGGGGCAAGACATGACCGGAACCGGGAGCACATTAAAATAGGAAGGAAATCCCAACCATGTTGCGATGCTCTGATGACATCGATTCTCGCAGATGTCCAAAGAATGATGCAGCAGAATGCTGTGCAGCTCATGATGCTGGAGCTAGCCCGTTGCGCCCTTCGGATTGTTCTTTCAGATGCATTGCAGGGCGACTTGATGTAGGTGCTCAGAAATCGCAGCAAACATTTTTCCTGAAACCGCAATCGGGCCTAGAACATTCTATGTGCCACTGATGATCATTCTCTGATGTTTGTTATGTTCGCTTGGCATTGCTGTCAAGTTGCAGCTGCCTTTCCACCTAACACTTAGGCCCTAAAACCTCAAACTGCAGTATTCACTCGCAAGATATATGCGCCAGGCCAGTTGATTGCTGCTGAGGAGATGTCCAATCATTTGAAGGCCCTGGCCTTCTGAGACATTGCTCGAGCAAGAGTGTCCTTCGCAAGTCGCCTAACAGCGTCAACGCTTGCCTTCTTTTCAATGCTTTCTCAGGTGCTCTTGCTAGATCCAAAGTGGAAGCACCAGAAGGATGCTCTGGTAGAGAGAGCCAGGACATTGATGCCCGTTTTAGTGCTGAAATTGACACTCAGTCAGTAGGAGACTTGTCAAGATGCATGAATTTCATGATGAAGGAAAGAGTCTGCGTTCGCAGATGACGTAGAGGCAAACTTGGCGAGCTTTGTCGCCAAAAGGCACGGCAGTCTCGGACAATCTGAGTGAAGCGTGACAAGCGTGAGCGGTGACTTCCAAGAAAATGCAATGTGCTTCGATGTTCCTGTAGGCCTGACTTGTTCGGTACCGTGGAGGAGGAGATTCGAGAAGCCGCAGAGGCAGGTGCTGAGGCCGCAGCACGAGATGCTGGTGCAGATGCCGGTCCGGCGTGGAACCCTACCGACAGTGACCTGCAAACTGTTCTCCAAGTCTGCGAAAGAGAGCGGCAAACAGAATGCCATATGACTTTACAGGGAGGCGTATGATATGATTCCATGAGCTCTGCACTTGGCCTTCCGAGGCGCACACAATGGTGCCCCCGACGGCATATGATGCAGGAACGGCACAGAAGGCTTTGCCTTCAAAGTCAGCAGCCGAGTTGCTTGAAATCGTCTTTGTGCGCGCATTCAGAACAGTTTGATTGTCGAAAGTTCTTATTTGGTCTTGTGTTCACTGTTGAATAGAGTTCGCGCTCATATAAGTTCTTGCAACTCTATTTCTCTGCGGTTCTGTACTGCAATCTGCGACCCTCATGTTTTTGATGTTTATGGACTTTCTTAGCAACGACTGGCCGGGCGCCAAAGCCAGTCAAGACGTAATTCTGAACAACCAGAAAAGAAGCCCTAGGCTCGGTGATGAAAACACAAGACTCATGATTCTAGTGAATCTCGTTCCAGCACTCCAGTGGTAAGACGGTAAGACGCGTGAAAAGGCTATTAAAGCTTCGATCGTTAGGAGACTAAGGGCATTAAAACGTGTTGGTCGTTAATTCCGGCCTGCCAACGTCATGTCTGAAAACCAAGAAGGCTGCCGGACAGACGGGCAAGATAGAGAGGGTCTCAAGCCGCATGTTCCTTGAGATGTAGCGCATTTGTTCCTGGTCAGTTCCTGGTGATGGTATCGCCCACTAAACAGTGTTCACCTGCAGGAGTGAGTTCTTGTGCTGCACTGTGACTGTCAATGAAATCCCGTGTCTGATGGTGGTTTCGCGTTTGAGTTCGCGAGAGTAGATCAACACGTGAGAGAAGGAAGTGATGTGTCTTGTAACGATGTGGCTCACGGGTGAACATATGAGAGCGGTCTGGGAATTGACTCATAGGTGAAAAAAGCAAGAGTAACCATTGATTTCCATCACAAAATCCTAAGTTGTCCTTCTCTATCTTCCTCTGTACAGTTGATTTCATGCGGTCGTGAAGTCAGTAGAAAAGACATTAAGCATAGAAAGAGAAGTGGGAAAGCTGCGAATGTTATTTATGTGCCCCAACATATGTGATGTGCTAGTTTTGGCTCACGCCGTGATCTCTGCAGGGGCTTCCGGGATGGGATTGGGTGTGCCATGCTGCAAGATCGCACTTGTGCTATGCCTTGGCGTCAGCTACTTGCGAGCGCAGGTTGCCTCGCACCGCTTCAGCCGCCGGGTCTGATACAGGGTGCTCGCACAGACCTGTTGTCAACACCAGAGGTTTGGATGTCTTGCGACATGGGGGCCACCCGTAGTGTCCACTTTGGAAAATCTCCTTATGCGTGGGATCCCGTGGGAATCGGTGTGGGCCCCCTAGCGTGCATTGCAGCGGGCGTGGTCACCGCGTTCTCCCAGGACAGTTGCCAGGTATGTGGGCTATGCTCCAAAATGCGGACAGTCCGCGCACGCATCCGTGCCCTGAACCCCTGAAACCTTTGTCTTACATTTCGGGACCAAGGACGAAGCACAAGAACTCTTTCAAATCTCGCTACAACCTCGACCATGCTGATGATGAACATCATCCACCTCATGAACCCTGGAGCTCACACCCCATGTTTCCTAAAAGAATCCAGACACGAATGAAACGAGCAAGCGAAAACGGAGCACTCACGCGCGTGGTACCGGTGTGGGTCGTGACCACGCCGATTACGCAAGACCGCTTTTCTCAGTAAGTTCAAAAAACACCAGATTTTCGATTTTTTCCTTTGGGTAGCTTGGATGGCATGTCAGGGTGTCGGTGGCGCGGCACTTTCAAGTAAAGGCGCTTGATTTTCGCCGTTGTGGGGGCATCGTGACTGGTGTTTGCTTTTCAGTGGAAGGCAAAACGGGGTTTAGAGGTAAGGTTTGTGCAGTCGGGATCGCGACTGTGTGCTTGAGGGCTTCGGGCTTCCAGTGTTTTAGGTTTCGGGGTTTAGGGTTTAGGCTACAGGGGTTCAGGCCTGCGTATTTCAGGGTTTCGTGAGCTTGTACGGTTTTGGGTTTCGCCTTGCGGGAAGTTCTTCACCATTAGATTTGCGGGCATGAAAGACTCGAAATGAGTGCGAAAGACCTGTAAATGTGACAAGAAGCTGTGAATATACAATTCTGCTTGCTGCGTTGGTTTGTAGGGGAGATGTAATGCAATCATTATAGTTCAAATCTGGTTATGATGATATATGAGAAGAGTATTAAGTTCTATAACTTTCAATAATTTGCTTAGAAGTTCTGCTTTGTGTGCCGTTCCAAGCTCTTCGTTCTTGTCTTGCTGTTCTTGAAGGTTTGATTCACTTCTTGTATTTCATTGCAATCTCACAAGAATGAATCAAAGATCGATATTATTTGCGGTTGTAGTCAGAGGACAGAGTAGAAAGTTGAAATCCATGACAACTGAAACGCAATACATCTTTGTCATGATGGGGTTCGCGCGTATGCGCACGGAAGCTAATGCCCAAATCTTCTCAGCAAGGCCTGGTGCTGCCGGTTCATCTGCGTTGCCAGCACCTTCCATGCCGGCCCAAGCCTCAAGCAACAGTCTGACAGCTGAACCCCTTGACACGATGACACGATGGCAGCTGCTTCAGGAAACTGATGCTCTATATGACTATATGCCACAGGGATGAAAGTATGTAAAACCGGAAGCAGATCCCTACAGACTTCCGTCCACGACTGGACAAGACAAGCATCCGTGACTGAAGACCCATGCTGCAACATCGACGTGCTTAGGATTGGAAGGTACGGTGTGCGTACGGATTTACAAATCCACGTTCCCTCGCGTTCGTTTTGCAGTCTTGGCTTGCGTGGCTCTTGTTAGTCTTTTCACGCTGCAACATCACCAGCAACTTCGAGTGTGAAGCGAGTAGTCTGCATTGGTTATGGTAGTGTTGCCCTTGGCAGTAAGTTGAATGCCCGGCAGCCATGCTGGCCACGATTCGGCTGCGTTTGGCAAGGCTTGAACGTGTCACTGAGGTAACCCTCCAAAACGGCGACTATCAGACGTCAAAAAACCATCACATGTACTTGACATGTCTTTGCCGAGGCTCTTCCCAGCGGACAGCAAGGTCCCATTGCGGGCGTGTCCACAATTAATGCGAGGCCTGCTCGAACACTGAACGCAGTGCTGAACATTTGCCCGTATTGAACCAGCATTTTGCTGGAGTATTTTGCCCCTGTGCCCTTCTGGTTCTACGGTAAGTAGTGCAGCTTAGAGAAGAGCTTCAGGTTGCCTCAAGCATCCCTCGTCAATCAGCAACAGATGGCCGCATGCTCAGCATGTGTCGAGGGTTTGGGATGCAACCAGACCAATCTCTTGGCATACTTTGTTTTTTTTCTGCAAGCTTGGTTCCCACTACGATATACAGAATGGGGTGATGTGGGGTGGGTTGCGATGCGTGACAGAAGAGGAGAGCAGAAAACTTTCCTGCTAGATGCGCATTTAAGTTCCTCCCACGGCCCATGTGACAGCCGCTAATGTTTCAAACTTATCTTTCAAGTGCCAAGGGCGGTGCCCCGCCTGGCATTCGTCCACCAGGTATGGCCGGAGGCGCGTCTGTCAGGCTTTTCTCCCATCGGATCTGGCGCATGGGCTTGTGGATGTGGTGTGCAAACGTCAGGCCCAATGGCTCTAGCAGACGATGACGAGGATGATGAACCCAATGCCAAGAAGCCCCGACTCGATGATGGAAGCCTGCAAGCTGAAGAGACATGGGCCGCCCGCTCAGCCAGAGATCACTTCCACGCTTAGGATGTGCAAAGAAGTGTAGGTAGGTATAGGTACGAAGGAATGAGAAGGACATGTTTCATGAATGCAGAATCCGCTCCAGAATTGTCCAGGTCCAGAAGCACCCCGTGCCCATAGCTGTGATTGTCCAGGTCCAGCAACACAACTTTAGTGAGTGCAGTGCTCAAGTGTGCATGAATGTGCTTGAATTTTTTGCCGCATTGCAGAGTGTGTAAGAGACGCGTTGTCTTGGGAGGTGAACCTTGGTGCTGACGCTTTGGCGGCGGGTATTCAGCCTGCCATACCAATCGAAGTGTTCCTCATTTGCATGCAAACCCTCTGGACACCAACACCAGATCCTTCAAACCCTGCTTTCTTCAAGGAAGTCAGCTATTGAGAGCATTCAATCAAGGAATCTTCCCGCCTTGCTTCGCCCCATCAAGAGCATAGTTGCAGTTGACGCTCTTCCGTACAGTCCTGTTGAGCGGGATCAGTTGGAAAAACTTATTGACTGGTCCCTGTCGAGCTGTGTTTTTCTTCGGTATTCAGCTGACGTGGAAAATAGCTTTTTGTGTGAACAATCTTAGAACTTGACCTGGACGCGATGATGAGTTCGATTTGTTCTCAAAGGATTCGGACCGAGGCGTCTCCATGCAACAAAACAAAATGGCACGCCTGGTCTTCAAGTTTTGGATGGATCTGACAATGAGGTCTGTCCGCAACAAGGTGCAAGAGCTCAAAGGAATGCTGGTTCCCAAGGCTCGAATGCAAGATAGGATGAGCGTTTCATTCCGGCAGAAGAGCCGGTCATCCTGTCACTGCAGTCACTGCAGTCACTGCAGTCACTGCAGTGCATGGCTGACCCCTTGCAGCAACTTGCAGCACCATGTAAAAACTCATGTAGAAAATATGTAAAGCCATGCCAGGTAGCAGCCGTCGGTGTGACTGCAGCCGACATGAAGCTCAAGGTGGACAGCGGGAAAGAGTCAATTGCTATGTGTTGGCTTGTTGCGGCATCGGCAACCGCAGGTGTCGAGCTCAGGCTACGTCCTGAAGAACGTCGGGGGCACAGTGAGAACAGTTTGTGCAGCTTCCAGTAGTTGCTTCCAGCAGGTTTGCAGCGTGAGATGCAAATCAGGCTCACTCTCTGGCCTTCTACAACATTGGGTTCGCATCTCACATGGTTAAGGATGCTGCACATCTGTGTAGTAACGGGAGCCACCAGCCTCCTGCACTGAGGCCTGGCAACATCATCGAGTTGTCGAGAAAAACGCGTGGGGGAAAGTGATGGGTATGAGCCTTGGGCTGTTGCACGGACGGCTTTCCAGCCTTCACACACTGCAAGGATCCTGTCCGATTGACTGCACTTGCTGTCCACAGGCTTGCCGGCTTGACGTGCAGCACGAAGCAGACGGCCCTCGCGAGTCTAGGGGCGGCCAAAAGCAAGGGCAACAAGACACAATAGAAGCAGCTAAGTTCGTACGAGACTGGTTGTCCTTGTGACGCGTTGCGGTCTTCAGATGCACGCACTTGCACATGATGCCATGGACTAAGTTCCCAAAGTTCTCCAAAATAGAATTACGTCGATGAAGCATTTTTGGCTGACATTTTCCGCCCTTGAGGTTGAGTTCCTTTCGCACCCATGCAGATTGCCCATGCAGGTGTGTGTTGGCGCATGTTACAAGGTTTGTGGCGATTGAGACTGATGGATATTGGAAGCAACTACGCCGGCCGAACCAAGTGTGCCGTTTTCGTCTCAAACTGCGCGAGTCCATGCCGTATTGTCTATCGGTCGTGCCGCTTGAGCAGCACTAGCAGGCAATGAGGCTTCCGAGGCCTTCTGAGATCCTGTTGGTTCGCTTCGCTTCTAGTAAGCCATGGGGGTGGGGTTGTGTTCCCCAAAAAGGTACAGCAAGGCGGGCTTCGCATGGCAAACTTCCCTTCATGGCTCCCTTCATGGCTCCTGGGTTCGGGAACATGAACCCAAGGCAAATCTCGAAAAGAATATGCGAGGAGTGCCAGACCACAAGTCGGGCTTGCCCCGGGCTACAGGCTGGCGGGCTTGCCGGAAAAGCTTGCTCAGAGGAACCCGCGCAGATCGCGCTCTCGCAATTGCTCCTCGAGTCAGGAAAAGTGCTCGTGAGTCCCACCGCCTGAGTCGACCCAAGTCGAAAACAGAAGGACATTCCCAGAGACACCTGAAAGCTCATGATCTCGGATGTGCTAGGGTTTGTGGGTTTTGTTTAGGGCTTATGGTTTCGGATTAGGGTTTACCGAATCTGGCTGATTTTGAGATAAGGCCCCCCAGAGTCCATTGCAGAAGGGCCCCCCCGTCAAAATCTGGGAAGTCCTAAAAGTTTATGTATGCTCACAGATGTGCCAGGGTTTGGGGTTTAGGGTTCAGGGTTTCGGGTTTTTAGGGTTTGGGTCAGGGTTTTTCGGGGTTTGGTGATAAGTGGGCTTTAAAGATGTCAGGGTTGTAGAGACTATGTCTTATGCGCTCTGCGTCGGACACAAAGGATTCCAGGGCCTATGAGGCTTGGGGCCACATTGATAAGCAATGTTTCTGGGTTCATGACTTCGTTTTTTAAGGGTGTAGGGCTGCAGGGTGCATTCGGCGTATTCAAAGTTTCAGGACTTGAAAGGTTCAGAGATTTCAGAGTTTTGGATGGTCAAGCTCAATGCCTGTTTTCCTGCGGCTTTCTGATTCGCATGTTTTTGTTTTCTTTTTTTATGACTCGTGCTGCTTTGTTTTCTGACTAATTTTTCCCGACCCGCCGGTCACCCATCATTGACCACTACCTGGCCGGTTGGAGTGCCATCTTTGGGCTTGTCGATCTCCAGCAAGTTTGCCCCGAGCTTGGAGATTTTTCAAATGGGAGCACGAAGGCTTACAACTGGAGTGCTCGAGATCTCCGGATGAAGACACATACAAGCATTGGTCGAGAACTTTTGTTAAGCTCATGGTTTACCAATTCCGAGTGCCGTACTTTCGCGGCGTCAAGCTCCAACGTGCATTGGATCTGCAGCAAAAACCCTTTCATTCCGACTTCGTCACAGCATTGGTACGAGTAGTATGCTTAAAGCGCTTCTGGTCAGTTCCACCCGACCTGGGCCCAAGACAGCCGGCCAACTTTCTCATTCGTTAGCTGAGCAAATTCTATGTTTTTTCTGGGTTTGGCTCTTAGGCACACAAGGTCTACTGCAATGCAGTCTCACCAAGACACTTGGAGTTGTCCCACGCGCGCTCGCGCACCGGTGTTGCAGTCTTTGAAAAGGGGGGTCATCCCACTCCTGCTCTTCCCAATAGCGAAGGATTGTGGTTTTGAAAGTGTTGTTTAGGTTTTGGGGTTTTGACGGGACTTGTATTTGGAGCTTCCAAACACCTTCGAATCCTGCACCACCACAGAAAAGCAATTACAGCCAAGAAGGAAAACCCGCAGATGCTCACTGCCCGACGGGTTTTCCTGGGTTTTCGTTGTTATTGTTCACATCCAAGGGCCATTGTGCGATGACGGCGGACAGTCACCTGGGCGAGACTGGGCCCCAGCAGGAGCAAATCTGAGATGGGGTAGCTTTGCCACGTTTTGCCACCCTCTCATTCACCACTCCAAGATAGGAAGCGGTGAATAGGCAGCAGTGCAGTTGATACATCTCAGCATCTCGACCAAGGGGTGGGAAACCCGATTAAACAGGACGTCGAGACGAAGTTTCAGAGAGGAGATCCAGTTCGCCCAAAGCTGAGTTGACGGTCCAGCTGACGGTCTCGGGAAAGTTGGGAACGTTAATGGTTCGTGCGCTTGAAACATGTCTGTAGAAAGGTGAGAGCACTTGAAGTGTAACATCCCATGTTAAGCAAATCTGCGTGGGACCGCAAATTTGTGTTCTGGTGGGCTTTTGGCGGGTTTCGGAGCAGAGTAACACCCTAGCGACACCGGCTACTTCGCATTGGGCAAGGACGCCTAGAACATGAACCTTGCATTGTAAGCCTTGTGTTGCTGTTGAAAAGTCACCTGCTCTACTCCGGCACAGGCCCTTTAAAGGTTCAACCCAAACAAGATTTCATAACCTTTGTGACGCACTCCTCTTTCCACCTAATTGTTGTGAAGCTGTCTGAGTCCCCCCGAGCCGCAATTGCCTTGCGTTTCTCCTGTGCGTTTTTGCGTTCAGAGGTGCAAGCAAGATGTGGACACCGGTGCAGGGCTTCTTTGGCTCTGGGACGACAGGCACGTTCGCCGCACTTGCAATGTGCTGTTGGCTTGCGCAGATGCCAGCTGGCGCGCAATGCCGGCTCGACAGGCACTCTGATTCGGCAGTCTTTAAGGGCCAAGGGCGATTCCATCTTGCTGAACTTGCCGAACCCCGAGGTGCAGCCATGGCTGCTTTTTTTTTTTATTTTTAAGAGAGAGGTTTCGTTCTGCGCGGCTGGGGTCCCGTGGGTGCCGGCAGGCAGCCGCATCTGCGGCTGCATCGATGCCTCCACCTTGGTCGCGAGCTTACTGCAGCTTACTTCTGTATGACCCTCCTCAACTACCACAGAAATCCACAGATCCCGTTGTAGATAATGCGTTGGGATTCCCCCACTTTGGAAGTGGCCGACGGAGCTTCGAGAGCAGCCGCGGGTTGAACGTGGCTTCAGCAGACTTTGGCTGTTTCTTCTTGAAGCCAAGGCAAGTCCCACCTCTCAGCCAGCAGGCACGCCATTTTACGCTTCACGTCGCGCAGGTGGAAAGGTGTATCGCGTTGCGACGTTTGTGCTTTTTGTCAGCTGCTCGCCAGTCGTCGCTCTTCCGGAGTTCCTGTTTTCCAGGTCGCCGCAAGTATTGTTTTTTCAAAGCTCGGAAGCTTTGGAAGCTAACACGGGACGCTCTTTGTTATTGACAGTCCTTTGCCGGGCCATGAAGTGCTTCTGATGCTGGCTCTTCGGGCATAGTCTTGGGTAGCCTCTGTGCACTGCTTCTTCTTGCACTAGATGCTGTGACCTTCGTGGTCTGCACCAATGCAGCTGAAGTGCTGCAGCGTGTTCATTGTGGCCCAGCTCAAGTTCTTCAACTTCCTCACCCTTCCCCAAATATTCTTCATGGCACCATCGTAATGCCTCGCAAGCCTCCGAGAAACCCTTCGGAGGACCTTACAAAGGCCTGCGCAATTTTTTCATAGATGTTGCCAAGTACGACAGCAGTCTAGAAGCCAACCGAGTGAGGTCACGTGTCCGGCCGAGCCCAACGTGTTTCATAATGCGGTATGTGCTGCAATTTGCAAGCATACCAATCTTAGGGCATGAGTGCGCTTGAGCAGCTTTGCCGTTTTTGAGATTTGACAGGCGGTGCTGGCTGTGAGCTCGCACATGACCTGGCTCGGCAAGGTCGACAAAGTCGAGGCGACCCTGAGCAATCTCGTTTTCTTCTTGGCATCAGCAGCACTGCCCAGATTAGGCAGCAACCGGTCAACACACGAGCCGGAGCCAGCTTGAGACGAAGCTTTGTGAGGCCCTTTGTGTTTTTCGGGAGGGCATGCTTCTGTGAAGCGAGATCGAAGAGAGAGATGGAACGAACGGTTCAAAGCTGCCATCATGTCACAGGATCGAGTTCCCCTTGAAGCCCAGCTCGTGGGAGCGGACTTGGCGTCGTTGTTGTGAGGCACTGGGCTTGCCAAGTTTTCTTCCGATAATCGACAAGTCGTCGAGTGATGGCGATGTCTTGGAATGTCTTCGAAGCCTCAGTGTTCCTTTGTTTGTTCTAGAGCGTAAAGAGTGCATGAAGTAAAATCAACATCTTGCCAGGATTTCGAGAATGCAACATGCACACCCATTGTGTCGTTAGCATGGCCGTCAAAACGGCCTGCAGAAACGAAAGCCTTTCCGTTTGGCACCTGTCAGATGGGGTTATGCTGTCGCTTACGCGTGAGAGGAGAACGACCGCTCACTTAGTACCTTCAAGCTGCTTATTGTTTTATGTCTCGGCGTCTATGAAACAGCACCGATCTTCCTGATGGGAGGCCTGAAGCGAATTGTTTTCACCATCATCATAGCGCACATAGCTCTGGTTGTGCTGTTCTCATCTGAACTGCATCACCACGTTGTTAGTGAAATTGCATGTCAGGGGCCAATTGGAAGCGAAGTATCTTCCTTCCTGCTCTAGCCCCTAGCATCGCAAGCGCAAGGTGCCCCTCCAAGCTCTCACGTGTTCGTTTTGCCCTAAGTCTCGCTTTTGATGTTTGTGACTTGCCTCGTAGCGAGATGTTGAGTCAGCCAGTCCAGCAGATTCATTGTCGGGCGCAACTGTCGCCAGACCATGGTGCTTGCCGTACAAGCTATACTTAAGATAACCAGCGACATGCGGGGACTCCGTTGACTTTGCATCTTCATCCTTTTGACGCTCCCTTTCTCAGAATTCTCAGCGAAGCACCCCATGCGAGTCGCCCAATGATATGTTCGTCATCGCAAGGTCTGAAATCAGAAGTAGTTTGCAACGGGTGAGGCTCTGGTCTTGGAGTCCCTAAAGACTGTCTTGCCGCTCATTTGAACTCGTCTCTATTCTGGTGGCCCATGAATCGCAGCCACAACTGCTTGATGCTTGGATGCATTGGCTATCCGTTTGTCCATAACTGGGGAAACGAGCCTTGATTGTCCGACAAGCCACAGAGTTTAACGCTGAGCATTGAGAAGCCTGACATGCAAGCATATGCAAACCCACACAAGTGTGTCGTGGCGTGCCGTCGCAGCAAGCATCGGTTCGAAGGACAAATCGACTCGCGTCGAGAAACTCTAGGCGACCCACCAATTGGATCCAAGAACAATAGGATACAGTAGGTCTGTCCAATCTCGGTCAAACAGTCCGATCTGGCTGCCATGCGTTCGGGAACCGAGAAACTCCTGTCAGCGGGACATGAAAGGGCTTGACGATAGCGCATGTCTTCGATACACCCGCATTGCTCAAGCCCAGAAGCGACCTTTGTCAACAAAAGCTTGGGTGGTTTTCCCAGGCAGAGAATGTTTGCCCCAGACTCAATAGACCCTGAACCGATTCTAGTCTTTCATCGGCTTGCTTCTGTCCAACTACAACGAGTCTAAGCAGCACTGTAAAAGGCAACCAGGGGTACTGAGAAGGACCTCTCTACCCTTGCACTGCAAAGCTACATGGTCATTCGGAATGTCACTTACAACTCCAACTTCACTGTTGTTTCTTGATTGGCTCATGCGATTGAAGCCTATGAGTTTTTGGTTTCTGCTTGACAACTGTTGCACATGTGGGCTTGGGATGTGCATGCCTCGGACTTGTCATGGGAAGTTGACATGCCTTGCATGGGCAATCATGGGCATGACATTCACGGAATTTTACTGGTTCATTTCAGCTCAGCCAAGGAGAGGCCTCGCACGTCGCCGTTAATGTCACAGCGGAGCAGGTCCTTCCATGTTCTTCCAATGTGCTTCAGGGAAGCCATGGGAAGCCTGTAAAAAATCTGCACGGACGCCATACTGATGGCCGATTTGTCGATGCGGGCCCCGATGTCTGCCACTTTGTACTCTCAACCAACTCATACTTTGCCTGACTCTATAAGTCCGTGAGCCTCCAGAGAAGAGACGGATGGGCACAGTCATGGTGTCCAGGAGTTAATGCCTTGGCGGATCAGCTGTTGCTTCACGCCTATTAGCCAGCTAATGAAGACAAATCATGCGCCTGCTTTTGTATGCCCTACCCTGGCAAGTGCCAGATCACGAGGCTGTCAAAGCCTTGCAGGTTGTTGTGTTGCAAGGAGTACCAATTGCAGCCCGCAGGTTTGGCTCACCGCCCTCATGTTCTGCCCCTGAAAGGCTTGCCTTCCCACCTCATATATATATATGTATATATATATATGTATATTTTTTTGGACACTTCCAACATTGCCCCCGCCTCCCTGCTTCCATTATGATGATTGATTGCCTATACCAGTTGCCGGGTCACAGCCAATATGAGCGGAAATCAAGCAGGAGCCTTAGTCCATTCACCTTCTTCAATTTGACAAAAAGCACTTGTATTCTAGGGATGTTCAATAGTATAGTTGAAGATAATAGTGATGCAATGGAGTCAAACATGGCGAGTATACTTAAGGTGTATTCTTCATACTTATGGTAGTTGCAATATGTACTTATTCTTGTTGTTAAAATAGGGGGGGAGGTGAGTGAGCTTGTTGTAGAGAAGTTGTTATAGGATCTCGACCCATGAGTATCGTCATAATCGCGATATTTGCCATGAGTCGTATGAATGTTATTCATAAACTGCTGCAGATCAACTTTTATGTCAGTGATGTTACTTCTGTGAATGTATTCAGTGTACATACTAACTAGATACACCAAGTACAGTCTTTATGTTCAATGAGTGATACTTGTTGCTGTAACTGATAAGTGTATCAGTGATACCTGTCTGTTTCGTTTTTGAATTGGTTGCATTTGTAGGAGGGAACGCAATAGGGCTGATTATTTCGCCATTTTCTATACCTGGTGCTATTTTCGGCGCGCCCTGCCAAAAAAAGTGGATCTCATCACAGACGGCCCAAGACACCAAACAAGAAAGCAATCCTAGCAACATATTTGTTTGGTCTCAGCATGTTGTTGCCTGTTTTTTGGATTTCCCAAGGCTTTTCCTAGCGCAGTAAATGCAGCAAGGCCTTGTTGTAGAAAGAACAGATCGAGCTTCGATTGGTTGACCTAGCCCAACACAGCAAACAAGTCAAAGCCCAGTTACATCGGGCAGCAGACCTTCTTGGTCTCAACACGATGTAGTTTTGCTTTCTTGCGGTTTTCCCTGGTGTTCTTGTGGCTAGGTTGGAAAAACGTACCCAAAGCCGAAAACCAAAAACAACTCGAGTTTTGATTGGTTGTTGCTTACTCACGACAAAAAACCCAACGTGTCGAGACCAAAAAATTCTCCTCCAGGGATTGTTTTGTGGTTACAACATCCCCCAAACGTCAACAGGAGAAAGCGACAGGTTGCATTTCATTCATTTTTGTTTTTCATTTTGTTTCTGGGCGTGTTTTTTGGTATTTCGCTAAAAAGCCAGAACAACTCGAGTTTTTTGGTTTTTGCTACCCCAGACAGCTTCAATCAAAACCCAGGTGTTCTGGTATCGGAGCTGAAAACCCAAAAGCAACTCGAGTCTAGAAAGGTTTACATAGCTCAACAGAAAAAGCAAACCAAATCCCAAAATTGTGTTGTATCGGGGCCGAAACACCAAAACCAACTCGAGTTTTGATCGGTTGTTGCTTACCCAGGACAGCAAGAACCAGCCAAACCAAGGTTCTTGGTCTTTGAACCGAAATACCAAAAACACTAGGGCAGAACAAAAGAACGCATGAGACTTTCAGACTTCATTTGTACAGGTATCGGAATTCGGAGTCCTGCAAAGGATTGGACATACAAGACATACCGTAAACATGCAGTCGTATGCAGTCCAAACGAGGCTGTACGGATCATTGGGCGGGGGGGTGGGGGGGTTTGGATTGAATACATAGATAGTGATCTTGGTGTAGGACTGACACGTAACTCCATGAAAGTATCCTTTCACAGCTTCATGGATGAATCGGGAGCCGCGTGTGTCACTGCTTCCCACGCAGACGTCGCCAGCTGTCGTCGTTGCACCTCGGCGTTTGAACAGGCATAGGAGTGCATGCGGGGTTGGGTCGTTCTGTGGGGTTAGGTCGTTCCCATCTTGGGCGAGTTTAGGTCAGCAGCGATGCTCGCATTCTGGCAGTCCCTGCTGATACAAGTATTGCTGAGATTCAGTCACGATGTGGAAACAAGATTCATCGGAGGGCGGAAATGGCAGTTGTCACCATGCTCTGTGGGCTGGGCAGGCCCGTGCTTCATCAGGCAGCAGGCCCCACAGTTCAAAAGGCCGGCCGGGCTGCGGTCCCCCAGAAAGTCCCTCGAGTTTGCACCCGGGATCCCCCCTCACCCTGCAAGGTCCGGCCGGTACTGTTTACGGTCCCGCGGCGTCCCGTCACCAAAGCTCGCACCCCTCGAGGCCGCTCCGGTCCCCCGCTCGCGTATCACAGATTCGTCAGGATCCTCCGTAGTATCCCGCCCTCCCACAGGGTCCCGTGCCGTGGCATTCCGCAGCTCGCACTCCACAGGGTCCCTATCCCCAGTGCCCCGGCCGCCAAGAATGCAGCCCCCCCCCCCGCTTGCCAGCCTGGACGAGTACCCAACCCCCGAGGGTCTTTGGGAAGAAAGTGAGTGTTTGACACGCTTGTGCCTTAAGTTTGAGTTTAGAGGTAAGATAAAGAAAGCTTCAGGTTTCTCTTTCTTGTGTGTTTCCTACCATTGCCTTCTGTGCCCTGCCCACCCTCTGTGTAATACTGAGTGGGGTTGCCTTTCCCGCCCGCCGATTGCAATCGAGTTGTCTTGCCTGTACTGCTGCCTTTTGCCTGAGGCAACACGTTGGAACAAACAGAGTGTTTGCCCTGCCTTAAGTCTGAGTTTAGAGTGCAAAAAACGGTCGTGCAGTGTGAGTGGTCTGGATTGTTTTTTGGCAAAGCTGTAGAGGTTCCTGTTGCGCTGGTAGGTCCCGAGGGTTGGGTTGATTAAACGTTGCACTGCCAGACACTGGGACTGGCATGTGCTTCCACCCGCTGGCAATCATGTACAGCAGTTTACACAAGCACACAACACACTTGCAAATGTAAATGTTTTACTTGCCGAGCCGACACTTAAACCTTTTCATCCTAGGCGGGCATCTGCATTGCGAACTGTGCCATATCTATCGTCAGCACATGCCTGTATTACTCCGAGCTTCATCGTCTGATGCTTGGCTGCACTGTATGAGTTGGTTTGTTGTGTTTTCAGTGGTTGCAGCGAGCTTGATGCATAAAACTTTTCCACTCAGGCATGAGTTTCCTTTTTTCGCTGCCCAGCTGAACGCCGCGATCGGCGCCTTGCTTTCGGGCTGCTTATTGATTGTGATGCCAAAGGACTGGGCCCGCAACGCTGGATGCAAGAGCCTAAAAGAACCTGGCTTTGGATGCTTGCAGGACTCCAGAGCAAGCCCTTGTCATCTTACTTACTGGTTCCGTTTGGCGGCCCTTCTCTCGGCCCAGTGCCTAGGAGCCTTCAGCAATTGTTTCTGGCTTCCTTTGTAGTTCACGGAAACGTGAGATGGAAACGTTGCGCTTCGGTTGCTTGTGGTTAGGTGGTTCTCCTATGTTCTCCTGCATCATCTCCGATTCTTAGGAACTGTTTGGAGATTGTCAGCATCCCGCGTGTGGGCAATGATGATTTGCCACCAATTCTGCAACAGGCAAGGCGAAGTTGTCCTTCACTTTTGTTCCGCGCGTGTTTTCCTTGGAAGGCAGTTGTGCCACTGTCGCTGACGCTGTCCACGCTCATACTCCGGCGAAGCTACAACAACGCTTCTAGTCTCATCATAGCAGATGGTTCCTAGTCTTAGTTTTTAATCCTTTCAAGACTTTGGAGCGTGGCTGGGAGCCGGAGAGGTTCAGTTGGTGGGATCAGCCTGTGTGGTTTTCGGAATTGTTGTTGGCTTCTTGCCGAGCCTCTTCGCAATTGACAGCCGAAAGCCACTTGGCTGATATGCTAACAAGCACTTGCAAATGCTGCAATCAAAAGGGAAGAAACTAGGTAATTGTTTCACCTTTGTCAAGCTCCAGTAGGTCACGAGGCCCTTGGCCAATGAGACTTCCCGATCACAGGCAGACCCATGTGGCTTGGGTTTCGGTCTTCCTCGTCTCTCGCCTTCCGCAAGCTGCGGCAAACGTTGTCGCGGAAGGATTCTTGGAAGGCTCAGAGCAGAAATGTGGCGAGAGTCCTGCACAAACAGTCTTCGAAAGCTTCTGGAGGACATCGTGATTTCGCTTGGGCTGTACGGGCCACACTCTACACTCAGTTGCTGGGGATGCATCTGCCTCAGCTCGTCAGCTTGGGATGTGCAATTATAATGCATTTTGGACGCTTCGCGTGCTGTGAGCCTGGCTCGATCTGGCTCGCCTGGCTCGGCTCGCCACCCGCAGATTTTCATCTTTCACGCAAGGTGCTGTGTTTTTGCAACGGTGTGCTGAGCACACTGCTTTTTGCAATTGCGATGAGTATTCGGGCCATGGCACGGCAGTCGGTGGGGCTGCCTGCAGGCAGGAACGGATGCTTACCAGCTTCATGTCGTGCAAGTTTTAGATTTTGCAGTTTTTGCATCTCAGCGTTGGCACGAGTTGTGACCGTTGACAGGTGAGGATTCCGATCCATCGATGGATTCGCCGGGGCTTCCTCGAAGCATCTTGAGGGTTCCTCAAGCCCAGCCTCTTGGGGCCGCGGAGCCCTCGGAGCCCTCGGAGCCTGCGGAGCTCGCCGAGCCCGGGGAAATGGCCGACATCAGTGCCGCAGAAGACTTCGAGGATCAGGCCCCGCCCAAAGGCAATCCCAGCAATCTGCACCCAAGTTCCTGTTTCGGCCGTGACTGGCGGAGTGGAGGCCTCTGACCTTTATCTTGAGTCTCCAGCCACCAGGAGCGCCACCAGCTTGAAGTGTGTGGAAGTGTGGAGTGTGTGGAGGATTCATCAGTTGAAAGACCATAGCGACCTGGAGGATGTCCGGCTGTGACAAGATTCGGGCCACACTGATGCCGTGGATTGCCTTTGTCAAGACCTTATTCCATCCTAAGCAGGCAATTGCACTGGGTGGAAATGTGGCATTTGGCAGCACGTCCACGTGAAGTTCTACGTAACCTTTGGCGTGACCCTCCGCCCCCCTCCCTGATTTCTGATGCCATTGGAATCCATTGGAAATGCCATGCCACGCATTCTCACATCTAAGGTGCTCAGCCTGAGTTTGTTCGTCTGTCTCTACCACAACCACGCGGCCGGGGGGGAACCGTTTGCTTTCAACACTTCGACTTTGGTCTGCAGCACAGTGTTTGGCCGAGCCCATGTGTTTCGCAATTGTCATCTCTCTGAATTGTGCCTTGTTGCATGAGTTGTATGATACTTTCTACGTGTGAGAGAGAAATAGAGCTCTAGCAGACTCTAGCAAGCAGGCCATCGTTTGGGTGCTGGAGCTTTTCTGCACAGTCCTGTCTGCGTGGGCCTGAGCAAGCTTATACATCTTGGGTTCCTTCACATCAAGTCCACACCACCTAGGTGTTGAGCATCAGCCTGGGACAGTTTACAAGGCTGGCTTGAGTAGAAGGTTAAGCTGGCAAGAGCGCGAGCAGAGTCCATGTCGAGGAATGCAACGTTAATGGCCGTGGGCTTTTTGTGCCTTGCTTCCATTGGACTCGGAGCTGCTGTCGGTACCTGGTTGGATGCTTGGAGTCAAAATCACATTCCAATACAGCGGAAGCTAGCTGCTTTGCTGCCTTTTCTGCTTCGTGGCTTGTGACTGCTGGTTGAGCCAAGGAAGCTGGCTACTTGGACAGGCCCTCTCATACATCGCGTGCATATGACAGACAATGTATGACAACGACATTGTCCCGACGAATTCCGACCAGGTTTTGGCAACTGTACCGCTCATCCAGTTATCAGATCATCAATCCGTATGATCCCTATCGAGAAGTCGGCATGGCTTCTTGCTGCAGTACCTGTAAGCTTTGTAAGCTTTTAAAAAGCCTGACTTCACTCCTTGGACTACGAGTTGCGTAGTTTTTCAAAGGTATCCTTCTTGAAGTTCGTCGATGGTACCATGGTCGATGTGCAGCGTTCTCTGGGCCACCTTGCGCCGCGTGGCGTGTGTCAGTCAGGTCACCTCCTGTACTTTAAATATCCTTGCACAAGACTGGCTAGTCTCTAGGTTTATTGTGTTAACTTGCAAGGAAGGGGGGCATCTACTGCGTGGCGCCCGTTGTGCGCGAGCAGGAAGCGGCCACTCAGGCACCATGAGTGTGATGCATCCGAGAAGCTTTAACAGTGCAAATGGCCACCCGGCTGAGCCTCAGGTCCTTTACTGGGCTGTTGGCAAGGACTGTTGTGGCAGGAGCCGGCTCCATACCTGCATACCCGGCCCTTTGAAATACTGTGTGCTACGGTCTAGCAGGAGAAGCAACTTCTCCTGCGGGCAATATCTGCAAGGAGTCATGGTGGAGCAGGATCGACGTCTAGCCAAGCTAGGTAGTAGTTGGATTTTGACTTTGACAGTCTCGTTTCCAACCCTGAACAAGCGCAGCGGCCAGTTCAAAGCAAATAGCTCCCGATGCATATACAAACACCAAAACAGCTCCAGTCCTCGCGAGATCATTAGACAAGCGACAACTCGAGATTTTGGGTGCCTCGGGTGCTCATCAGCTTGAGGGTGTTGGTTCGTCAGCGGAGGCATAGAGTTCTGACTAGGAATGAACTGAGCTGACAGCCACTTTCTGAGCCAATCGAATTTGCACAAGAATTGCTTACATCTCTTCGATTCTGCCTGAGATTGAAGCGGTAAAACTTCCAGACAAAGCAATCCAGGATGAGGTGTTCCGCAGGGCCGTTCTTCAAGCTTCATCGGTGTTTAGCATCCAGGCAGGTGCAAGAGGGCGTTTTGGACACACTTGCAGTTTGCCTGCTTGGTGTGGGCCGTTCGTTGAGGCAGCCGCAGAACCACGGTTTGTTATGCTTCTGGAGCATCCATCCCAGCTTCTAGCGTCTTGGCAGCCACGAATCTTTCAAGCTTGTGCGTGAAAAGCATCTCCTGTAGCAGGAGTAGTAGCACTTGTATAGCATAGTGCATGACTTCTCGCAAATCCAGGCACAGCTTTGGTACGAGTCATGGCCGCACAAGCTTCTTCTTGGCATGTTTGTGCAGGTATGTTGCAACAGGAGGTGCGCGAGCGCGCAACACAGCTGAAAGCACGCGACTTGCGTAAGAATTTCAGAACCAGGAAAGTATATGACTGACCAGCAGGAGCAATGGCAAAAAATAGAAGGCGGAAGAACAACCTATGCGCGTCGCAGCCAAGCACAGAACAGAAAGTAAAATTACAGGCCAACATCTTGAAGAGAAACATGGGCAGGAATGGCATCGCACTTTGCAGGAAGGAAAATCATCTAAGTCTACCAAAGCCGCCTGACACGAGGCAGACTACGTCAAGGGTTGAACTTACATGATTTCGTCAAGCGTTGAACTTACATGGTCTTCTATCTACCTGACATGAGACAGATTCAGCTATCTCACGACAAAGAGACAGCTGAAAGCTATCTCACGACAAAGAGGACTTGGCTTTGGCTGAAACTAAAGCACCGTCAGGTGTGCACGATGTAACATGCTGAAAAACTGCCATCGCTGCCCACGATTGGTGTTGCAGTTGAAGCGCACATTTAAATGACGATGTTCAGGCATCTTTTCTATCACGGCCCAACCCCCCTGCACACTTAAGCAGGGCAAATGAGATACCAAACAAGAATCAGCCGCGAAGGAACTAACAACACGGTTCTCGGAATTAGTGCAAGAAATCTTTAAATCAGCCGGCGGCAGCATTTCTAATACACGATGTATTGGCGGGACGCGATTCGATCCTTGGATTTCATAGCGGAACACTGACAGGCGAAATGGGCAGTTTCATCAAGCAGCAAGAAACCTCCACTCCCAAACCATGCCAAATCTACGTGCCTACAGTCCCTTTCTCGCAGCCTGGATTAGGTAAGAAGCTATTGACCAGGTATCGCCCCAGCACGAGCAATATTTGGAGTAGTTTTGGAGTTGTCAGCAATGCCAAGGAGAGCACACACGTAGTGCTGTGGGCAGTGCTTATGCACCTGGTGGTTTGCATCATCGCCACTATGACGATGGCGTCCGCAACGGTGTATGCTTCAAAGCTGAAGGCCTGATGTATCCTCAACACGCATTCCATTTGGATTTCTCCGACGACATTCTCTACTGGTTGCTGCTGGTATCTGCGGGTTGGCGTGATGCTGATGGCACGAGCCCGTATTGGCATCTTTTGGATCCTGGCATTTCAAAGGCAAAGAAGCATCCACCTTCAAAGCAGAGAACGAAGCAGCCGAAGGCAAAGGATCACGAGCCGACGATTGGTTTGGGGGAGTCAGCTGAGCTGAGATATCATTGAAGTTGGCGCCGAGCTGAAGGGGGGCTGCCCACCAGGTCATGGCGGGCGCGATCCAGGTCGATGTGCAGCAAGTCCAGAATCTCCATTCCTAGTGACACTGGCAAGGTTCGACTGCCTGTCTAGCATCCATGCGACCTCTGTCGGATGCATCTGTGAGATTGGGAGACTTGGGCAATGCTGGAAGTTTGACGTGGACTCTGCTCTACCTTGTCATGCCTGTTGCGGAGTAGTGCAAAGAGCATGAAAGAAGTTCTTGTGCTGTGAACCGGGCACGTTGTTTGCTTCAGACTCTCCCACAAGCAAGTTTTCCTCTTGCATGCAGTCTGCATCTAAGTCCTTGCAACTTCCTGACAGCAATGATTACGTGGAGAGCTCGGGAAGCAGACGCTGGGACATTCCCGTGTGCGTATAGTTTTGCAAGTATTACGACATTCAGCCATCAGCACGAAGCCGATGGAGTGTCAAATCTCAGGTCAGTGGCGTGGAAGGGTGAGTTTGTAGTGGTGCTTGAGGAGCCTGCACCCTTGACTCGTTGACTGTACAGTACCATACAGCACAGCACCGATCCTCCCAAAGTGTAGTGCTTGCATAGTCCGCGAAGGTAGCACCGTCTACAGAGTCTTGTATCTTCAGATGAGAGATCTTAAAAAGAAGAGTTGCAAGATCTGTTGTGTTCACTTGGAAAGCTGTACTGTAAACACTGTGGACAGCGAGACACTTCACTGATTCGGATGCTGCGAGCCTTCTGTCAGGACTACAGGGGCGGACTGGCCTGTCTTTTTGGAGGCCTCGGGGTCGCATCTCTGGAGTCGCTTGAGGAATTGACACCGGGAGTGGGTGCATGTGGGTGCCTTTGTTCAAATATTCGCTGCGCGTGCTTTTGCTGATGGCCAAGGGGGGGGGGCTCCAAATTAGCGCCACACTTCACCTTGCGAGCATGTGGGAGCCGTTGAAAATCGTTGCGCAAGCTGAGAGCTGCAGGACCTGGCGCACCTGCATCCTGTGCTGGAGCATGGAGTAGCGTCCTTCTCTTTGCTATTCCGGGTATGCTGGAGGCTGAGGCCTTGAAACTGTTCATGGCCCGCTCTGCGATGGTTTGGGTCTGAGGTTGTATACGTTGACGGAGCCGCAGTCTCGGACGGGAAGATTGTCGGAAAGTGTGCTGTAGGACGGGCAGCAGGGCCTGCGCAGGGCCACAGATGCCATGGCAAGTCGAGGTTTCAGGTGCTGCAAGTTGCTTCAGCTACAGCTTATTTCCTGCTCACCGCGCAGGGAGCTCAGCAGGTTTGTTGTGTCTTTGGGCGCCGCGAGGCTGAAATATGTTCTGCTATGTTACACTGCAACTACACTGCAACTACACTGTAGCACCGAGGCTGCAGCTTCCATTGCAAGACCTTGCACTTTCAGTTCCCAGCCTCAGCAGTGCTCTGAAGGTGTTTCGACGTTTCCACTCAAGACTGCTGCACCAATCAGAGACTTTTTAAGGTGCTGGATGGCTCTATGGCGGCATTTCGGTTTTCGATGCTTCCAGCGATAGGAATAGTGGCAGTTGGGTCGGAGCCTCATGGAAGCAACGGAACACCCTCTTGTGAACAGCTTTTGGCCTCGCTGAACTCCCCAGGTTGGGGCTCTATGGCATCGGCTCCACCGAGAGGGATCAGAGGGATCGTCCTGCCTAGAGAAAAACTGCACAAAGCCAATCCTGCATGCCGCCGAAGCAGTGTTCTGTGGCGCACTTGGCGCACTTGGCGCACCCGGCGCACCTGGCAGCTTTTCTTGAGTCAAACCGGGGAAGTTATTGAAAGAAAACAATCGGACAAGCTTTTGGATGGGCTGTTGTTGGCTTGGCACGTGACTCACAATGGAAGTGCATTTAGAAGTTCTTCGCGGAACTGGGAGGGGAGCCATGTGAGCCTGATACTTCGCCATGGACGAACAAGGCAGGCTGGCATGATGTCAACCAGCAGATGGTGTTCAGATTGCTGTTGAAACCTGCAGCAAGGTTCGTAGTTCAAACACCTGTTGGACAGGCCAGTCACATGGTCTCTTTGCGATACCGGAGACGGATGACCCAATCAAACACCGCAAGCCACCCAGGGTAGTTTGTCGGCTAGGGTGACAAGCGCAGATAGCAGTATTGTCAGCTGTCTGCTCTGCGGATGAATCCTCTGCCAGGCGAATGGGTGTTCCCAGCGCGATTTTCTGCTATCTCTGACATTCTCTGACATGAGTACGGCAAAATCCTGGTATGTCCAGCGTACCAGGCAACGAGACTGTGGATTCGTATGGACCGGGATCGCAGCCAAGCTGCAAACAAATTTGGAACTTCGCAAAGGCTGGTCGTGGCAGTTGCATGCAGTTGCTCACGTCTGCAGGCAGCGGAACGATCACAAGAGAGGAGTAAACAAAGCTTGCCGTTGTACGCATGCTGAACGGCATCGAGCCTTTGTGATTGACTGCATCTCTTTGAGAGGAGCTCATGTGTGATGAGTTTCAAGAGATCCTGAAGGCACCGCGTGACTCGGAAATCACCGTTCTGTTTGTACCAAGACATGTTAGTTTCTTGTTTCGTTGCGCTAGCAGGCAGTCATAGCTCCGAAGAGTGTCCGCCTAAGAAAGTTGTGTGCCACAAAGCATGGTGCAGTCCGCTTTTGTGTGTCTTTGACTCAGGGGGAGAGTCGAATGCTGCATACGGCCGTTCTGAGATCAACGTTCCGCAGGACTGGAGCCAACAGAGCCGGTTCTCAAGCCTCAAAAGCGTATTGACATGCTCAAATGCTGATTAGCAGATTCGTTGTGCATGTTGTGGCATTGAGCACTGGTTGTCACTGAGATTGGTGACCAGGCAGTGGATTTCTGCATGCGAAAGGCTGCTCAGAATGCCACTGGCGACGTGTCTGCAAAAAGGTCCGGACAGGCGCCAGACCAGATTTGGACTGGGGGTTGGCTTAATGTCGTTAACTGTTTCCCGCCACTTTGGGGGGCTCAGGTGAACTGTCCTTTGACGAGTTCAGCTCCTTCTTGCGCGCGTCGCCCTCAGAGATCTCGAGGTAATTCCCAAGCTCGTGACTCGCTGCTGTGACTTGTGGCAGAGGTGCTGCGCAAAGCTGGGGCCAGCAGCCGTAAAGCCGATCTCATCTTTGCGTCAGACCCCAAAGACAGCAATGTGTGCTTTCTCTGTTGGCAATGTTCAGACCAGGCTGTGGTTGATGCAACAGTCTGTGTGTGAGGCTCTTTGACCTTGACCAGAGCGGGGTGCGCTAGCCCTGTTTGAGCTCCGCTTCTCCTGACTTTGCAAGCTGAGAAACTTCTGCACGCTTTTTCAGATGGCAGTTTCTGGACAAGGATGAGTTCCTGGAGGTTTATCGCTACTTCTTGGGGTGCGCCGTATGCAGTGTTAAGCTTTGAGGAAGGTGTCAGGCTACGAACCTACTGATGGTAGAAGGTTTCCAGAACCTGCATAGAGAGGCACCGGCCAACGTCCGAGAAGTTCGAGGAGGAATGGGTGCTTGCCTTTGTTTGAAAATAAGCTGCTCGGGAGTTTGAAGGCTTCAGTTGACCAATTCAGCATGGATTTCCCAAAGTGGGTCGGCGCATTCATGTTCTGCCCTGAGGCGAATCTTGATGTGAAGGTGCAGGGACATGTAAGTCTTGCCCTTTGCTATGCACTGTGTGACACTGCCAAGAGTTGCTTTGGAATCTGCAGGACTTTGCATGAGTTTGCATGAGTTTGCTTGTACAATCACAAGCTGTGCTAACAACAATCGCTGGATGACAAGCGCATTTTGATGCCAAAAGAAATTCGGGCTTTGCATGCTTCGCGCTGAGGCCAGAAGCAGTACAACCGTTGGCTACGTGCGTCAGACCTGCAGTTGTCTGCAGTTCAAGGGGGCATCCGAAGCTTTGTTGTTAATATGTATACTTCTCTCGTCTCTTTCTCTGTGTTTTTTGCATCTCTGTGCACAGGAGTACGAACCTGGTCTTCAAACCCTATGCACCGCGCGAAGCTGATAAGACCAGACGCCAGGGCGTACGTAACCATGATGGACGACTCATGCTTTGTAGCTTTCCAGGCCAGCGGATGACGATGTGTACGACAGGGCGCCAAAGTTCTCCAAGAAGGCCCTGCTCACTCGGAGCCTGATAAATGCAGATGTCAATGTGGTGGTTTTGTGTAGGATGCTGATGGACTTCTTCGGCTCACACAGCAGAAGAGGTGCAGGGGTGCCCTGCAGCCGTCTTGAAAGCCCGATGACATTTCCTGAGGAGCCAATGGCGGCCTCTTTGGTCGGGATCTTTTCAATCTTGTGTGAACGAATGCCTTCGTTGAACATAACCTTGGCCGACGGTTTCAGCCGATCAGCTCAGGAACGATCGCTGGAACTGCCAAGACAGCTGTTTGCTGAACAAGGCCCCGTTTGGCTGTTTTATGAAGGATGACCTGGGAGAAAGCGCGTATATATGAACAGAACAACTTATATTTCCTCCATAATTTAAATGGGAAAAACTGTTCTACATGTTAAAGGCAAAGCCTTTGTTTCTTCTATTTTTGCATAGGAAAACCTTTATTTCCTCTGTGTTTTCGTTGGAAAACCCTAAACCCCCCAAAGGGTTCCAAATCGCAAGAAAAAGGTCCAAAATGCTTCCTGCCCCTCTATTGATTGCTTCTGTACCTCGTTGGCTCTGTTTGAAGAAGAGCTTCATGTGCCATGGTCGGAACAGGCACTCATGCCGCGCCAAAAGCACATGTTTTCGCGAGCGTGGCCCTCAGCGCAGAGAAGCTTGCAGTGCATCCGCCAGGCTTCTCTTCTATTTCCAACACCGTTTTTCATCTGCGTCATTGCGCGTCGTATGTTTTACTCAAGGAGATTGGCAAGCATGTGCAACCATGTTATCCACAAACAGCTGACATAACTTGACATGGCTTCGGTTCACAGTGCAGTATCGACTTCAGGAGTTTGTGTGCTGTTCCCTCCCAGATGGCTTTCCCTTCAGGTTCAATCAGAAACAGAGCTTCGAAGATTTTATTCTCGGTCCCTGCCCAAGCTTCGTGAGTGCAGCAGGGAAGAGACGGTGAGAGAGTGACGCTGGATACAAAGGCACCCTCGGTGGGACTCTCACTATGAGAAGCTGGATATGCCCGAACCAGCCAGGCTCCACTGGTGAGTTGATGTGAAGTGAACAGGGGAGAGGACGTTTGTGGTGGCGAACTTTGCTCATTCCACAAAAATTGACCTTAATACTCAGAAGAACAGAAGGCAGGCAACAATGGAACAATTTGAGCTTTGCAATTCTGCACAGCAAATAGTTGAGATGGGGGGGGGAGGTCGTTGGTATCTTGCTGGAAAGATCTGGTACCTGTGGTCTGTCAGGTCCCCTGACATGTCTTTTGCAATGCCTCAATAAGACCATCCTCAGCTTTCTAAGCAAGTCAGAGGCAAACAGACGCGGTACAAGAAGATTAACAACTATGCTGCCGTGACCAGGCCACAGACGAAGCTCACCGCTGACATCCCGCCCTTACTGCCTGAGCGACATGTGCGGAATGGCAGGCACTTACAGACAGGGATTCAGGTTGAGTTGCCATGCCCAGCCCACTGCTTGCGGAACAAAAAGAGGAGAATATTTGACCAGGATGCGAAATCCGCAGACAGGGCGGCAGGAAGTATGGAACGATTTCTGGTGCCTGGGCATGCCATGATGGGAGTCAAGCCAGTCGCAAAGTACATCAAAGTATCTGTGCATTTCGTGCATATGTGGCCGAGGCAAACACCAAAAAGTGCCAGGAGCTTAGGCTTGCAACTGAGGCGGGTCAGGCTAGCTGTGATGCAGTTTTGTCGCCAAGCACCCTTTGGCAGAGCGGTTTGTAACCAAATGCAGCTGGGCTTTTGCCTACACTTGCACGTGGTTCTCCTTATTCGAATGAACGAATGAAATGAAAGTGAGTTGAAACGAAGCGAAGTGAAAGCAACAACGAATGAAAGAAGCGAAGCATTAAGCATTCGACGATCTAGCAACTTGGAGAGTCCCTTCGAGACAAGACACGAGAAGACTTGACCACAGACCCCACTCACAAATGCCCCGAATGCGGTTGCGTCGATCGTGGCTTGCAACTGCACCTGGGCTCTCCTCCAACGTCCAATCGTCCGCTTGCTGACATGCCTGCACCCTAACCCACGTAAACGCGCGGCCCTTCATTCATCTTACGTCCAAGGGAATGTGTGAAGAGCCTGCGGGTTTGGCTGCCTAGCGCCGCAATAGGAATGCTGCGCGGAAGCACATCGCAGCACAAAGGGCGACAACTTCTGATGCCGACAAGTGGGTTGGCCTTCATGCTTTCCACAGGATACTAGAGTTTTCGGGAGTCAAGAGGGTTTTGCACGAAGTACCGACTTGTCAACCAAAGCGACTGAAGTGTTTTGGCAGTTTTTTTGCTCGCTGGCTTTTTGTGGCCAGAGGCTCACTTGACGCAGAAGCACACACCCGGGTCCATACACCTGTCTGGCACTTGGGCATGATTGATGAAGCCCCGGGTGAGAGCTTGCATGCATTTAGGCGCTGTATCGGCGCTCCGCCGGATCACCTCGTCAAGGGGCGGGATGATGATGAGGCACGCAGTGTCTACGAAGCCGTCAGATCAAGAGGAGGAGGTCTGAAGGCCTGCGCCGATTCTCTCTGAGGATCCGTTGATGTGACGAACATCCTGGTTTCGGCGCAGCCGCGGCGCAGCCGCGACTACGACCTTGCCTGCACAAAGGAGCTGCAGGTATGTGTACATAGGACTTCATCGGACTTCTCCACTTCCAATGCCGGAACGAGACTAACGAGATCTTGTTTCACGCCATGGAATCTGCTGCAAAGCAGCACGAGACTATGTGCAAAAGGATCCGACGGAGCCGGCTAAGATGTTTCCAATCAAGGATCACGGCTTTGCTTGAGGTGGGCATAGCGTTCCCCCCCAACTCTCCCCCTCTTGTGGTGGAATTTCAGCCAAGTTCCACCGGCAAACCCAGCCGAAGCCATCAAACACTTTGCCGCAGCGGAGCTCCAAAAACATAGGGAGCGAAAACAGGCCACAGCAGAAGGAGCCACCCCCACCCACCAGCCACACAGCACCGCGCCAAACCAAAGACAACGCACAGCGCCACCCACACCCACCCACCCACCCACCCACCCACCCACACACACACACACACACACACACACACACACACACACACACACACACACACACACACACACACACACACACACACACACACACACACACACACACACACACACACACACAACACACACAACACACACAACACACACAACACACACAACACACACAACACACAAAACACACACAACACACACAACACACACAACACACACAACACACACAACACACACACCACACACACCACACAACACACACACACACAACACACGCACACACACACACAACACACAAACACACACACACACCACACACACCACACACACCACACACACCACACACACACACACACACACACACACACACACACACACACACACACACACACAACACACACAACACACACACACGACACACACAACACACACACACACACACACACACACACACACACACACACACACACACACACACACACACACACCACACACACACACACACACACACACACACACACACACACACACACACACACACACACACACACACACACACACACACACACACACACACACACACCGCCGCCGCCAGTCCAACAAGCGCAGCACCAGTAGTCGCACCGCCGCACTGCCACCACCCCACCCGTTGCCAGACCTGTATAGCGTGTAATCAAGAGATCGAGCTCTATAGCAGCGCGAGCCACCAACCTGCACCAATAACAAGAGTGGCGCTGGCCATCAACCCGCACCATCATCAACAGGCGCGGGCCACCAACCCACTGCGGGCCACCAACCCGCGCCACAAAGAGCCGAGTTGGAGCTCCAAAGCGGTACAGGCCACCAACTCGAACCATAATCAAGAACCAATTTCGAGCTCCAAAGCAGCGCGTGCTACCAACCCGATCAGGAGCCGAGTCGGAGCTCCAAAGTGGCGCGCGCAGCGGAATCAAGAGCCGAGTTCGAGGTCCAAAGCGCTCGGGCCACCCGCAACCATTATCAAGCTCGGCGCACCAAATATTTCGGCGCACCGCTGAGTCTGCGCCAAACGCGCTCCAAGCGGCGTAGGGCACCAGCACCAAACTCGCACCCACATTTTAGCATATTTTAGCCAAGCTCGAGCTCCAAAGCGGCGCGGCGCGGGCCACCAGCCCGCACCAAAATTTAGCCAAACTCGGAGAGTTAGGAGCCGAAAAAGCTTCGTGCATTACCGGTTCCCTACAAAAATGCATGTTGGGACTTGCGATGTATCACGGATCCCCCAAAAGTTGCTCCACATATGCTTTGGAAGAGGGCTGTTTCGTGGGCGCGTCGAGAACCATTGACAATTATTGAACATGTGTGGCCTTCCATTGCTGTTCTCGGCTTGTTCGGCAACCTTGAAGTTTGCGAGGCACAGCAAGAAGAATGGAAGTTCATGTCAGAAGCGCAGTCACCCAAAGACCGTGGGCACTTTTGCCGGTGCTGCATCTGCCATTGCAACTCAACGAGGCATAGCTTGACGGTAATTTCAGGAGTACAGTTCATACGAGATTGCACGGCTGCTGAGCATGGCGTTCGCTGTCGTGGTGAGCTGAGATTGGAGCAAAGGATGGTGTCGGATGGTGCAAGTTCCCCCTATGACACTACGATAGTCATTACGAGTGCTTCACGCCTGTCAGCTTTCAGGCGCAACGTGCCGGCTACAGCGGCCGGAGTGGTTCCAGGTCTCCTCGGACGCCGCGGCGTTTTGTGGAGGCCAAAACATGCAAACAAGAATCCAGGCCATTTCAGGGTGTCAGTTCTGGGCAGATCTAGACGAAAGTGATGGACATGACCTTGGTCTGGCTACGCCTGCCCGCTGAATCGACCCAGGCCGATACAGACCGCGATGCGGGTGGGTTTCAGACTCAAACAGGTCTTCGCATAGTGCCTGAAGCTGACGGAAAATGTTGGAAGTATGCAGATCTCAGGCCGGACGGACTGCCAAGCGACTTTAAGGGCGGGTTCAACGCACAGCCCTGGCCCCAACATCAGCAGGAACTGTTCCGGTAATCACAACGATATACAACGATCAAGCACTGGTTCAGGGCTGCATGTCATTCAGGCTCTACCAAATGTTTTCCTTCTCACCTAGTGACCTAGTGCTCAGACGAGTGCTCGTCAGTTTGACGCAACGTGGTCCAGCGAACGAGACAGCCCCTGCGCTGTGAAAGCTGCTTGCAGCTGGCAACTGGATGGAACACGACAGAATGACATAGACTGCTGAGACCTGAAGGGAAACTGCGAGGCAGAACGCCTGGTTCGGCTCGCTAGTGCTCGCTTCATCTCTATTACTTGGCTCACCCACTGTGAGGACTCGGATGAGAAAGTGGGCAACCCTTAGCTCTAAATGGCTATGCTGATAATGCTGAGCTACCACCCACGAGTCTTTGCGAATTTGCATGGAGCGTGTGAGAAGTTGGCCATGCTGTCGACACCAGTGTGGGCTAGAGAACGGGTTTGCACTGTGTCAGCTTTCACACTTGCCCTGCGGTCCCAAGATGAGGAGTCTGAGCTACCGAGAAGCATTGCTTGGAGATCCCGTCGCGGCTCATGTCTTAGGATGCGGATGCAGAGAGACTTCTTGGCGCAGTTCCTCGTGCTGCTCACTCAGCGAGCCATGCTGGTAGTACCAGTGTAGTACCAGTGATGCGAGAGTGTGTCCGTGGAAGGCCAGAGCAACCTCACCTCGCAAAGAGCCCCAACGCACCTCGCGAGGCAAATGGTTCCTTATCTTGAACAGCTGACAACAGGATTGTCGATTGTCGTAGTTTGTACAGGCTGCGGCTGGCTTACCTGTGGAGGCTGCAAAGGCACCCATCGGCTGGGGATATTTATGGATTTTTCCAGTTCTTTTTCCTTGCGCTAGGGAGCATGAGCCCCTTATTGAATGAGATTTGGGCACGGCACTGGGGCACGTCCGAAGGTTTTGATGCTGCGTCCTGGGCCTGGTGGTTGCCCCAAGTACAGCGAGTCATGCGGAACTCGCTGTCCCTGGTCACCTGTAAACAGTGCCCTGATTGTACCGTGTTCAAGGCCCTGCGGCCCCCTGGATGGGTCTGCCAGCTGGCGTGGTGCAATCCTGAGTTGGATATTGAAGTGGCGCCTTTCCTCGCTGTCCTCTGGGCTCTCCTACAGGGTCGTGTCATGGACGTTCACTTTTTTTTTTGGATAGCCGACGAGCTCCAACATCTCCAAAAGAGTATATCACTGATTGGCTTGGACAGGCTACCAAGCATCAAAACTAGATCCATCAGATGTGCTCGCGTGTTGGATCGTGTGCCCCATGAGAAAACGATCGCTGTTCCCTCGTTCGACCGTGCAGAAATGGCTTCAGGTTGTTTCATCTTTTGATGTGTCTGCCCCCCAACTTGGGTTGTGTTCTGAGGACGGCTTTGGCATGGACGAAAGACGATAAGCATTACTCAGATGATTCAAGACTGCCATCTATGCATATTTCTTCGTGTACTGACCGAAGCCGAATTGGCTTAGCTCGGCTGTGTGTTCGCAATGGTGCATGACTCTTACGAGTAGTTGTTTCAACAGACATTTTCTGGTGTGACCTTGTGCGTAGCTGGAAAGGAGGGCGAATAGAGCGACTTCCCAGTCAAAGTCAGAAACATAAACTGCTATGTTGACAGACGGGAAGAAGCCACATGCTACCAGCTTGTGGCAATAGCGTATTCGGATTTATCAAGGTATTACATCTTGTGAACATGTTCCGAGGCATGCCTTGCGGCGACACTGCGGCTCTTCTCGAGACTCCTGCCTGGCAGCGTGAGGTTCTCGATAAGTTTCAGATGTGCATCTACGAAGAAGCAGAGCAAAACGTATCAAAAGTGCAACCAAATATCGAGGTGGCCGAAGGCAGCTGCGAGGACCTGTGCCAGCGAGCTAAATCCTCAGAAGCCTGGGAAGCCAAGTTCGTGTCAGCTTCCTCTTGACACCATGACAAGGTTGCTGCAGATCCATCCATGCCCACCGAGTTCAGACCTGAAGTTTGGGTTTTGATCCATGCGGGCCGATGCCAACAGTATGAGTAGACCTTGCATCATCCCGAATACACAGAAGGCAGCGATGAAGGGGGGGACTAAACAGGGACACGGACCAGAATCTGAGTTGGTGCTGAGAGATCTGAGATGCGGACTGCAGGCTCGAAGAGATTGCGCCGTGCGTCGGCCTCGGGAGCTGCCCAGTGCCATCCGCGCTCCCGTCGTTGCAGGAGAGCTGCGCAGATCCGCAGCTATCGCAGCTGCACAGAGCAGAATGGAACCCCTGGCATACCAGCATATCAGTGCCCAGTGGACCCACCGCGTCACATGCGCATCCAAAACATCCACAGCTCAATCTGCTTGCTGTGTTTTTGGCTCATAAGTGCAGAATTGCAAGCGTGTGTTTCCATGACTTTTTGGCTGACCTGTCTTGCCAGAATAACATCAAGCCACTTGCCTGCACGACTGCACTTTGCGAGCTGGACCAAGCAAGCGTGCTAACTTTTCTTTTGTTTTTTTTT